CAAAACCGAGTTGTATTTCTTCACTTTATTAATATTAAATATTACTCTAACGTTTAATCTTAGAAGATTGGGAGACACTTGAATAAAACGCGCATACTTTCACTTATATTGATTTTTTCCGTTATTGGTGATGTTGTTATAAAGGCAATTCTTTATAATGATGGTGATGATGGTGATTACACATTAGTCCAAGAATTATCGATGAAAAATCAAGAATCTTTCCCAACAAAAAAAAAAAAAATTTTAATTCATTACATTATTAGAATTTTATATTAGAACTAACAAATATGGAGGTACTGAATTAAATCCTTAATTTTGCTGTCTTGTAGAGTTACAAAGTCTTAAACCAAGACATTCTTACAAAGGAATTCCTTGTCGACCAAATAAGGGTCGGGTCTTTGTATATAAAATTTCAAAATAAAATGTAAAATATTTACATGTTGGGTAATTTCTGTGATAAATGACCTGGAGTTACACAAATGATTATAACCTTTTTTGGGCTTTCATGTCCAAAATAATATCGTCATTGAAATTTTCTGATTACTTTATGTGACTGTATATGGTCAAGCGTTGTGGCGTAAAATTTCCACCCCCATAATATTGATGTATTAGGAAAATGCTTGAAAAATAACCTAGAGTCTTTTTCATTTTAACTTTAATGGAGATTAAAAAGAATGATAAAATGCTCATTCAATTAATTTTTTATAAAAAGGATTAAAAAATTAATTGAATGAGCATTTTATAACAGCACATGATAAAAAAAAATGCTATTATCGCATCAGTATCATTATTATTTCGTAATTATAACTATCATCCTTGCTTCTCCGATGGTATTCTGCCAACAAGGTCAAAAAACATACTATGAACTAATAACGGAACCAATTACATTAGGTCCCAAGGATAATAAAGTTATAGAACATTCACAGTTACCGTTAGTAAAGGACGAGTTGTCAGTAACGTTAAGAATATATCTTGCGAGTCATGGTCTCGATTGGACTTCTGTTTTTCATAAAGGTGGTTTTCAAAGGTTGCACGTGACTATTCAATTAATTTATCTCGGAAATAATTCTTAATGATATGAAACTTTCTTTACATTTAGGAGGCATCGAACGCACGCCTTCAATTTGGCTGACCGCAAATAATTCAAACTTACATCCACGCTTCTCGATTACTGACGATAATGATTTTGGACTCGATATGGTTGG